TCCACACTCACGGTCTCCAGCCACAGGCGGTCCAGCTCGCTGTGGCGCTGCTGCTTGGCGAGACTGACCAGCCAGCGGCCACCCCTCTTATTCCTGCTATCTTCCCACATGGGCTCAATGCCATCCTAAGAGGTGGAATGACAAATCAACTGCCTCCCTTTGTTCAAAGGGAAGTGGGTGCCCAGCCAGCTTCCCAGGCCCTGCACTAAGCCTCCATAGGCCAGGGTCCCTCTTGCCTCCATCCCCTCTGAACAAGCAAGTTCCACCACCAGCCATTCAGCCCTCCAGACCCTCCCATGAGCTCCCCCAAGCCCCTGATCCTCAACATTTGTCACCTTTTGTAGCCTTATAGATGTACAATTATGTTTGTCTCCTTTACTGAATTGAGTTCCTTGAGGCAAGAGTTCAAGCCGGGGCGGGGGGGTGATTATTAAGGAAGCCTCTGGGGCAACCATAGTGTGTACACCCCAGGCTGGACATAAATCACCTGGGGCAGTCTTTAAACACGGATGGTAAGGCCCCACCGTATACACCTGCTGGGTCAGTACCTCCAGAGATGAACAGGGATGAGGGCCTGGACATTGAGGCGGAATGTCCCTAGTTAAGGAGTCGGGCCAGGAACCTGGGCTTCTTCCGAGTTCCCCCTTCTCCCCCCTCCCCTTCCAGACTCTTAAAGGTCCTACAAGATACAGCTCCAGTCTGACACTGTCCAAGCTTCTGTGTAGCATTTCCTCAGGTTGGAAGTCACATCTCGGCTCTGAGGAAGGCTGTCTGTGGCAACACCCCCCCCCAAACTCTCCATGAGGGAGGAACGCAGCAGAAGCTGAGGAGGCTCAGCCCTCTTGTGGCCTGAGTTGGGGAGTGGGGGGAGGCAGAGCTTACCTTGAAGAGGGCGTAGTCACAGCCGGAAGAGAGCTTACTGGCCAGTTGGATGTGACTGTACATCCTGGAGAGAGCCCCCCCACCCCCAACCCAGGCTGTTAAGTCCAGACTTTTTACAGCCTGGTTCCAACTTGCCTCGTCCCCCCAACTTCTTACCAGACTCCACTGTTTTCCACCCACCCTTCAGGCCTCCAAGACATTGTTCACACTCACCCTCTCACCCCCTGCCTGGAATTCCATCCCTACTTAACCAAAACCTCAAATCTCACCTTCTCCCTGGAGCCTTCCCTGACCATCCAAACCCCCCGGGAGGCTTTTAGAGTCCCAGTGCTGGGGAGGGAGGGTCCAGGCGCCCCTCCAGCTGAGGTTTGCACAGGCCCCAGGGGGATTCAGAGCCCCCTCTGCCATCAAGACCGGCCCTGCTGCCCCCTCTTTCTCTTCCTTTTTCTCCTCCTTCTCTCCCAACTTACGGATTCCACCCTCGGCATCTCTGGCCTAACCAAAGAAAGGAATCGGGGTGAGCAGCAAACCCCCAGGGTTTGTGGTGCACCTTTCAGATCCCTTCCCTTGATCACCCATGGACATGATCAGGCAGCCTAATCCTTCTTTTGTGGCAGAGACAAGCTCAGAGAGGGAAAAGAACTTGCCCAGGACCACAAAGCCTTGGAGCAGCAGAGTCAGGGATAACTCCTCATTTCTCCCACTTCCCAGGTACTTTACTGAAGCCCCAGGAAAGTTTTAGGGGGGCCCATATACCAGCCCCAAGGATCCCCACCCCCAAGCAGAACCCACCAAGCCCCAGCCCTCAGCAAATGCTGAGAGGTCCCAGGGAGAGCGGGGTGAGCTGGGTAGGAAACAACTCCTTGGAGGGGTGGGGCCTGGGAAGGATCCCCAGCTCAGAACTCCCTGGCTCTGGCCTCGTCTGCGAGGAGCAGACACTCACGCCCAGAAGTCCTCCACAGTGTCAAACTTGGTGACAAGATGCAGGTTGTCCTGCCAGGCGCGGCTGCGGTCATTCTTGAAAAACCACAGAGCCCACCTGGGGGGAGGGGAGGCCAGGAGGAAGTGAGAGCCCTCCCAGGCCCATCACCAGCAGCACCTGTGCTGGGGGGAAGTCATGCCCCTTCAGGGACAAATGAGGAGATAGGATTTGGGCACAGCACCCCCCCACCCCCCCCAGGGTGACTGGAGTCAGTTATCCTGAAAGGCTGGGGCAGGATGGGGGAATCTAACCCAGAATCTCAGTTGGGTTAAGGCCAGAAGGGCCAACAGGGCCCAAGTCTTATGCCAGTTCTGACCTTTCTTGGATGAAGAACTGGGGCCAAGAGAGGAAGGTCTGGTGCAAGCCCACAAAACCTGCCTTACCTGTTCAGCAGTGGGTGTAACTCCAACTTCACCCCCTGGGGGCCCCCCTCCTGGGCCTTCCTCCTCTGGGACAGCAGGGCCCCAGGGGGATTCAGAGCCCCCTCTGCCATCAAGACCGGCCCTGCTGCCCCCTCTTTCTCTTCCTTTTTCTCCTCCTTCTCCCCCAACTTTCGAATTCCACCCTCGGCATCTCTGACCTAACCAAAGAAAGGAATCAGGGTGAGCAGCAAGCCCCAGCCCAGCGGCCCCACCAGCCCTGTCCCTTGCTGCATGAGGAGCAGGGAGATGGCTTACAGGACTAATAGTAGCCATGCAGCAGCTTGGGCTTCATCCCAGTTGGCCCCCAGCTGCCGGCTTTTAACCCACCAGCGCTACCCCACCCCCAAAGCACGGGATAGGGAGGAGCCAGCGTGGTGTGGCGGGAGCTCAGAGGGAAAGGGCTTGCGCTATGCATTCCAGCAGCAAGCATTTAGTGAGCACCTTCTGCATGCAGGCAGGTGGGAGGGGGAACAGGTGTGACCAGACAAGCCCAGCCACCACCCACATGGTGCTGGCCATGTGCCGGCTGGGTCACACGAAGGTAAGGGTCAACACTGGGGATGTGTCCTTAGTGCAATCACGTCCCGTGGACGATGGGCCTAGAATTTAAAGTGGGACCATCCCAGAGAGGGCAGAAGCAGCAACTCTGACATAGCCAGCGTCCATGGCCAGGTCAGAGACCTTAGTCGTGCATTGGAGTGTCTCTGTGTTTGTCTCTGCTGCCATTCACCACCCGCACTGGGCTACCAATGTCATCTGACCAGCATCTGGAAGCTTCTGAATTGTTTAAAGTACATAATCATTTAGAAACGGGGAGATTATGTATTAAAAATCTACATTTTTGGTTACTCTTGAAAATTTGGGAAGGTCTCACAACACCGGGGCCTCCATCTCACTGTGGCTGAGGCCGCCCTTTGGAAGGACAAATGAGGTGCCGTAGGGCCCCGCTGGGCCACTGCATTCCTGCTTCCTGCTGCCGGGCTCACCTGAGTGTTCTCCACCCTGCAGTAATGGGGGTGCGCTGGGGGGAGACCGTGCAGCGGTCTTATAGCCTGGCCTCAAAGCCTCCCTGCCCTGACCTCAGCCAAGTACCTGAACCTCCAAGTCTCCATTTCCTTACCTGTAAAATGGGAATGTTAATGATATACAGCTCAGAAGCTTATTGCACTAAGTATAAAATACATAAGCCCATAAAACAGGGCCTGGTGTGGTGGTCAATACAAATCAGCTGAGGGCTACCCCAGTGTGCTGGAGGGAGGGGGAAGGGAGGGAGGGAGAGGGGAGCGATGGGGAAGGGGAGGAGGAGGGAAAAGCTCTGGTTCTGGCTACCCTTCCCCTGCCTTCTCAACAGCACCCTTATCTACTGGGGCTGAGGCCCCCCCAAACTTCTCACCCTCCTCTTGGCCACTTCTAGGGTCTGAGATCTATAAAGGGACTAGTCTCCTCCCCCCACACCCAGGGAAGCCCTTGACCACATGGAGGCTGACAGTCAATATCTGTCCAACCCACATGCCCGAAGCTCCAGGTACATGCCCGGCATGGGGCTAGGTGCTGGGAGGCAGGGAGGGGCCAAAAGTGAGCGGCCTCTGTGCTCTGCTCTCTCAGGGGGAGCCAAACAGCAGGTACTCTTACAAACACCTGTGTAGTCACAAATTCAGACCTCTGAAGGAAAGGAGTTCGCAGATGGGAAAAGATAAAGTCCATGACCTGAACTGGGGGCTTTAGGGTGGCAGTTCTCAAACGCATAGATCAGAATCACCTGCAGGCCTTGTTAAACAGGCTGCTGGGCCCTGCCCCCAGAATCTGATTCTTTAGCTCTGGGCTTGGGCCTGAAAATTGGCATTTCTAACAAGCTCCCTGAGGATGCTGGTCAAGAACCCCATTTCAAGAACCACTAACTTAGAGGCAGTTCATGGATGAGGTGATGTTTGAGCTGATACCTAAAGCATGAACAAGAGTTAACTAGGTGGGTGGAGAAGGGCATCTCAGGGACTGGGAGCAGCATGTGCAAAGGCCCAGGGGCAAAGGGAACATGGAACACTGAAGGAAAAAAAGAAAGACCAGTGTGGCTCATGCCCAAAGGAGGAAAGGATAGTAAGTCTTGATCTTAGGAAAATGGAGAACCACTGAGTGCTTCAAGTGGATACAGATGGGCTGGGGAGGTAATCAGAGGTGCTTTCCAGCAGGTTCTTTGGGCCGCTGTGCAGGAAACAGACTCTCTGGTAGTAAGAGTGCGTGGGATGAGATCTATTAAGTTGCTAATGTAGTTGTCCAGGTGACAGATCTCCTGACAGGGAAGATGGAGAGAACATGATGGATTTCAGAAGTGTTTAGAAGGAAGACTCCCTGGCGTTTGGTGATGGATAGGCTCTGGAGAGGTGGGGCACAATGTCCCAACTACCTGTTCCTACATAACAAACCACCCCAAACTTAGTGGCTTAAAACAGCAACAATCCTCTATTTTGCTCACAGATCTACAATTCAGATTGTGCTCAGTAGGGACAGCTCGCCTCTGCTCCAAAGTGCTGTCAGCTGGAGTGGCTTACCTCGGACGCCGAGGGCTAGAGTCATCTGCTCACTCACAGCCGGCTGTCGGCTGGAACCTCAGCTGGGAGTGTTGGCTGGGACAGCTCTGTGTACCTCTCCATGTGGCCGCTTGGCTTCCTCACAGCATGGTGGCTAGGTTCCCAGAAGCGGCATCCCAAGAGACGGGAAGCCGAAGCTGCCAGTTTCTTAAGGCCTGGGCCCAAAACCTGGCACAGCATCGTGTCCGCTGTATTCTATTAGTGTCCCAGGGCCCACATTCAAAGACAGGGACATAATCCCACCTCCTGATTGGAAGAGTGTCAAAGAATTTTGGACAGAGGAAGCACTGGAGGAGGGCCAGGCTTGGGGAGAGATCATGAATCTATATTTGATGGAAAGAAAGGGAGAAAGGACCCTTCCCAAGTGCCAGGCATGGTCTTAGCTGCCTTAGAGTCCTGGCCCAGAGCCTGGCATGGAATGCCCCTGCTAGCCACAGTACCCCTTTCCACCTTCTTCCAATCTTCCAGCATGGGACAGCCTGTGGACTCTGGAGTTAGGTCACTAAGGAAAGACCCGAAGAGCAAACCCCCTGGCCCTATGGGGTCCTGGTCCCTACTCAAAGCCCTCCCAAGTCTATCTGTGGAGAACTTCTGCACAGTGGGCTCCTGCACCCCAATCCTACCATACTGTTCCTAAAATATCTTGAATCTGCCCATTCCTCTTATTCCCCACTGCCCCCACTCAAGGCAAGCCCTGCCGTCTCTGGCCTGGGTCACTGCCCAAGTCTCTCCTAACATTCTCCTTGCTTCTACTTCCGCCTCCTTACAGAATATTCTCCACTTGCCTCAGAGGGCTCATTTAAAATATTAATCTGATCACTTAAGTCCTCTGCTTAAAACCCTCCAGGACACTGAGGATGTGACCCAAAGGCCAGGTTCTGGGCCTGCAGGTTTCTGCATGATCCAGCCTCGCAGTGCCCCAAGCACACTGATCCTCCAACAGGCCAGATTGGCTCCTGCCTCAGGGCCTTTGCACTTGCCATTTCCTCTCCAACTCTTTGCGTGACTGACTTCTTGTCCTTCAGGGCTGGGCTCAAATGTTGTCTTCTCAAAGAGGGCCTCCCTGACCATCTTATCTAAAGCTGACCACTCTCCATAGCATAACTTACAGAGTTGTCAAATCACTATCTTGTATTTCTGAAATGAATGAACATTTTGTGGCAACTATATTTCAATAAAAAATAGACCACACGCTCCAGCCTCAGGACCTTACACGGGTTCTCCCCTCAATTCCTAACTCAAGTGAGGCCTTCCCTGCCCACTGTATGTAACTGTTCAAGCCCTCAGCTCCACTCCAACACCATCTAAAACATTTTACTTGGTCACTAGTTCATTGGCCGTCTGTCGCTTCCTACCAGAATTGAAGTTTTAGAAGAGCAAGGACTTCGTGGTCTTGTTTTCTGCTGAATCTCTGGTACTAGAACAGAGCCTGGAATGCCGTAGGCACTCCAGAGAAACTGAGAAGAAGAGATGCCAATGGCCAGTTATATGATTTCCCCTCTTTGGGTGTTGCCTTCCTCATCTGTAAGTGGGGGATTGAAAATGCCTGTTTTACAGGATTGATTTTAGGAATTAATGATATAATGGATGCCATGCCAGGGATGTGGTAGGCTTGTGATAAGTATCATTCACTCCTCTCTCTGTTTTCAGCTCCCACCCTGCCTGCCTGTCTCCCTCCCCACCCTGAGGCCTCCGGACAGCAGGAATGTTGCTAAATGTTTAATCACACTGTCAGGCACCGCACACAGACTTACAAAGACCCATCTGGATTTTCAAAAAACCCAGGCAGGCCTGGGATCACCAGGATCCGCATGATCCTCTTAAGAGAATGCCTTCTGCTCCAGCTGCACCCGGTGGGGATTTTTTCCCAACCCTTCCCCACATTCTCCCACCCTTCCCTCCCCCAAGCTTCAACAACCATTCTCCTTAGTACATTCTTAGGAAGAGGAAAGGGATGAGAGGAAGGGAGAGGCCCATTTTCCTGGGGGAGAAAAAACGGAAAGGTGGAGAGGTCCTGGAGAACTCATAGGATTAGGGCCTGGCCAGAGAGAGGCCCAGGGGCCTGGGCTCTGCCATCCTGTGCCCTAAAGGGGAGAGGGGGAGGAGGTGGGCAGCAGTGTGACACAGGATAAAGAATCCATTGTGCTGGAAGGTGGCAGCCCAGTAACCATGCTGCCTTCTTCTGGAGACAGTACATAGAGAGAGAGGCAAAGAAAGATGTAGCACATGTTAACACCTGGTGAATCTAGGTGAAGAATATTCGGGTATTCATTATATCAATATTGCAGCTTTTCTGAAGATTTTATTCACTGTAGTATGCTTGCAATTTTTCTCTAGGTTTGAACTTTAAAAAGTTGGATGCAAAAAGAAATAGCGACAGAGATGCTAGTGGCCCACTCAGTAACCATTCTCCCCTTCTCATACTTTGATTCTGGGAAGTCATACGCCCAGCTAGATGACCACACTTTTCCAGCCTCCCTACAGCGAGGTATAGCTGTAGTTGTTAGCTTCTGAAAACTTGTGAGAGACAGACAACTGGCAGGTGCTCTTTTACCCTCCTTCCTCTCCTCCTGCTTTCTGCATAGATACGATGGCTGGAGCTCCGGCAGCCATCTTGGACCATGAGATGACCTTGAAGGTAGAATTCATGTACTAAGAATGGTGGAGCCGGAAGGTAGGAGTCTAGGTTCCTGATGAATGTGAAGTTATCAAATCGACTGTGGCCTGCCTACCGCTGGACTTCTGTAAGTGAAAGAATAAAAGCCTGCTTTGCCTAAGCTTCTGTATTAGCAGCCAAATGAACTTCCTGCCTGATTCAGAATGGAACCTGTCTTCTGCTCCCTTTGCACTCTGGACTTTTCCACCTGCCGAATCTTCTGCCGATAATGCTCACCATCGCTTGTAAGGTCCTTCTCATCTTTCAAAACCCAGCCTGAATGTCACTTTCTCCTGGAGGCTTTCTGGAGGTGCCCCTTCCCTCCTGGGCTCCCATAGTCCCTGCACTCCTGTTAATGTCCCTGACGGCCCATTTGCTGTGAATCCGAGGACTCCTCACTCCTCATCACCTTGGCCGCTCTGTAGCATTTAACCAGCTGTCCTCTAATCCCTTTGGTTTCCCTGCTACCACTCTCGCCAGTTTCTCCTCTTCCCTGTGCTGCTCCTTCTCAGTCTTTTAGCCAAGTCCTCTGCCCCTGGCCACACATGAAGTTTGCAGTGCCTCAGGATTCTGTTCTGGACCCTCTCCTTGTCACTCTCCATGTTCTCCTGGGCAATTGCATCCTCCCCATGACTCTAGCCACCACCTCCATGCTAATGACTCCAAATCCAGTGGGGTACTGGGCTGCCTTAGACCAGCTCATGAGAGCAATTATTACAGTTTCAGGAGTTTGTGAGCCAGGTCTTAAAGTCATTATTAAAAATTAAATTATATAAACTTATGGTTATATAAATTATGTTTAAAACAGATAATAGGGGGCGCCTGGGTGGCTCAGCCGTTAAGCGTCTGCCTTCGGCTCAGGTCATGATCTCAGGGTCCTGGGATCGAGCCCCGCATCGAGCCTGCTTCTCCCTCTCCCACTCCCCTTGCTTGTGTTCCGAACCTCTCTCACTGTGTCTCTCTCTGTCAAATAAATAAAATCTTTAAAAAAAAAAAAACAGATAATAAATACTCAAAACATAGCTTCCTAATTATTTTACTATTATCCATGCTCTTAAGATTGTTCTTACCTATTTTATCTGTATGGTGAAAATACTGTAAGAGCCCATACTATGGCTCATCTCTTCCCAATTCTCTGCTCTGTGACATCACAGTAACAGTGAACTCAATCACGGAGAGAGAATTTATACCACAGATGGGGGCAAACTCTACAAATCAAGGTATATCCCTGCTTTAGAAAGCCACGAGTTAAAGATTTCCAAGTACACCATGGCCCAAATCTACACCTGAAGCCAGCCCTGAGTGACCCCCTGAGCTCCAGGCTCTGATATCCCATCTGCTAGACACCTCCTCCAGTTCTCTATCAGGCACCACACAATCAGCCCCAGTTAGGCCTCAAACAAGCTCTCCATCACCCCCCGCCCCATCCCAGAAGCTGCCCCATCTACTCGATGTCTGTTTCTTTCTTTTTTTTTTTTTTTACATTTTATTTATTTATTTGACAGCAAGAGAGAGTGAGCACAAGCAGGGGGAACAGCAGGCAGAGGGAGAAGCAGGCTCCCTGCTGAGCAGGGAGCCCCATGTGGGGCTCGATCCCAGAACCCTGGGATCATGACCTGAGCCAAAGGAAGACGCTTAACCAACTGAGCCACCCAGGCGCCCCCTCAATGTCTGTTTCATTTTGCAAGAGCATCTCTCACCTGCTGTCCAAGCCAGAAACCTGGAAATCTTCCCCCAACTCATCCCTCTCCCTCTTCCCCAACACCTAATAAGTTACCTCCTAAACAACACCCAACTGTCCGCCCAGTCCTGTTCCAGCCTCACTGCGGCTTCCCTAGTTCGGGCTCCATCATCCCTCCTGTGGATTCTGCCCCATCTTTCTCGTGATCTTGCTGTATCACACATCCTCCCACTGTTCAACTCCATGTGGCCCCACCAAGTGCAGATCTCATTTCGGTCTCCCTGGTGCTTAAAATCCTTCAGATTTCCCAGTTCCTACGGTAGAAATACAGACACCCTTCGTGTGGTCTTTCTCTCTTCCTCCTCTCCCTCCTGCTTGCTTCTTCATCATCTATTTTGACATTCTGGGTTTTTAAAAAGATTTTATTTATTTGACAGAGAGAGCGAGAGAGCACAAGCAGGGGGAACAGTAGAGGGAGAGGGAGAAGCAGGCTTCCCACTGAGCAGGGAACCTGATGCGGGGCTCGATCCCAGGACCCGGGGATCATGACCTGAGCTAAAGGCAGACCCTTAACCATCTGAGCCACCCAGGTGCCCCTGACATTCTGGGGTTCTTAGTCGAGAGTCACAAAAATCGCTTCTGGCTAATTTAAGCAGATAAGGATTTTATTATCCAATACTGGGCAGCTCAGAAACTCTCGAGGAAGGCCAGAGAGTCCCCCTTTAAGACAACACATCCTGGATTAATGCTCCAAATCACACTGCCGACAGACCCTAGAAGACTCCCCTGGTGTTACAGCTGGGCATGGACAATGTGGCTTGCCCTGTTGGTGCTGGATGCTCCTAGAAGCAGTGTCACTGCCGCTTGTGGTCCCTGGTAGGAGCTGCTACCACCAACACCATCTGTCCTCACCAGAGCCGACTGCCTCCTTCCCTGCTTCTTCAGGTTCCAAGTCTGGGGCTGGGGAGTCTGGGGCTGAAGTCACATGTCTGGGCTCATGGAAGGCTAGGAAAGCACTGTCAGCTCCTAGAGGGGGAGGTGGGCCCTGCCTCAGAAGGTGGGAGATCCCCCAAACATAAGAAGGGGACAGTTCCAATGCTGAGAGGCCAAAAATAATGACAGACGTCCCCCATGCTAGCTTTTTAAATTACACAAGTAAAATACTATTCAAAGTAAAATAACCAAACAGCCTAAGCAGGAAGGTGATAAAATTTAAAAACTTCTCTCCCTGAGTGCTCTCAGCCCCATTTGCCAGGGGCGACTACTGTGAACAGTGTTTTGGAAGTCCTTGCTGGTGTGATCTTTGTATATCTAGATGTAAGTATGTATATATTCGTGTATAAGGGGTCTTATGTAACTATGTGTGTCTATGTATCAAAACTGACTAGTTCCCCACATTACAGTTTAGCACCTCTCTCTCTCACTTCACAGCATTTCTTGATACACTCCCATGTCAGTGGACACGGGTCCTGCTCATCCTTTCACTGGATGGATGCCCCACGATTAACTAGCCAGCCCCCTACAGATGGACATTTGCATTATTTTCAGTGCTGCAGTGAGCATCCTTGCACAAATGGCTTTGTGCGCTTGTGTGAGTAGATCCAAGGAATGAATTCCTGGAAGGGCAACCGTTGGCTCAAAAGGAGCATGTATTTATGTTTTAGGTAAACATTGGCAGACTGCCTTCCAAAAAGCATGCACCAATTTGCAACTCTACCAGTGGCCTATGAACACTTTTTCCCCAGCCCCTTGCACAGTCTGGCTACCTCCTCACCGCATCACCTGTCACTTACACACCCTGCATTTCCAGCCACAGTGCCTTTGCCCATGCTATACCCATAGCTTAAAATACCGTTCCAGCCTGTCTTCCAGGTAAAAGCTTACCTCTCCCATGAGACCTAGCACAGATGTCACCTCCTCTGTGTAGTCTTCCCTGATTCCCCTAAGCTGTCAAAGTCCCCTTCCTCTGGGACCCCATAATTTCTTAGGCATAATTCTGTCATAGCTCCAACTGAGGGCCTATGTGTGCCTGGCATTCTATGGCCACTTGACAACCCCCACCATAACCACACACAGAAAAAGCAGTCTTGTCTACATCCTCATCCATTCCTGGCTCTCCAGCTGCACTTCCTTTTACTTGTTCCTAAGCACAGTCCTGTCTCAGGGCCTTTGCACTTGCAGTTCCCTCTCTATGGATCTTGCCCATATTGGCCTGGGTGCCTCTCTGGGGTCTCTGCTCCCACTGGCCTCCTCACACAGGCCTTCCCTGGGCACTCTGTCTCAAGCACCCTCCTCTAGTCATTCTGTTACATCACTATGCCATTATCTTCATAACACTCGTCACAAGCTGAAACAACCTTGTTAGATTTAAGTGTTGACACGTTTGTTTTCTGTCCTGTGTCCCATTTCTGCACACACACAAACACATCATTGTAAACTCCCCAAGGGCGGGGACCTTGGTTTCCTCTTCCACTGTCTCCAGCCTCAAACCTGCCTGGCACCTGTCTAAACGTTCAGTCAACATCTGTTGAGCAAATCATACCTTATTTTACAGAAAAAGGAACTGGCATTCAGAAAGGAAGGCTGGGTAGCCCAAGGTCCCACAGTTAATAAAAAACACAGCTGAGATTCGAACCCATTTGAACCCCAAAGCCAACTGCAGGTAGTATTTCTTGCCTACTCTTGGCGCTCTGCATTGTCTCCCCCACCCGATTAGGCTTTGGGGGCTGGACGCGAGTCTGACGCCCAGGGGTCCCCAGCGGCGCGTCGGGGGTCGGCCCCGGGAGGCGAGCGGGCTCCGCGGAGATGTCACCCTCCCCGCCCCCCTGTCAGTCAGGCTGAGGGGGCGGTGCGGCCGCCAGAGGGGGCGCTGAGCTCAGAGCTGCCGCAGCGCCCGAGCGGGAGCCGGAGCCCGAGCTGGAGCGTGCGAGCGAGCGGGGCGCAAGGCGCGATCCGTGGCTGGCGACGCACCGAAGGCCCGGACACCGCTGCGCCCCGGCTCAGGGCCTGCGCCCCGCCTGCTGCCGACCGACCTGGGCGCCTGGCGAGGCCCCGATTCCCCATTCGCCCCGAGCCCACCGCAGCCCGGCCTAGCCGAGCCCCTGCGTCCGCCCGCCGCAGCCGCAGCCGCTGCTCCATCCCCAGCCCGGGGCCCAGCTTCCAGGTGAGGCGGCCGCGCTCCGGACGCCGGGGTCGGGGAAGGGGCTGGGGAGGGAGAGGGGACTGGGCGGGATGGGGAAGCGGCTGGGAGCCGAGACGGGGACCCCGCTGGAGAACAGAGAGAGGGCTCCGGTAGGTGCGTGCCAGTGTGCGCCCTGGGGTGTTTGTGTGACCGCTGCTCTGCGTGTGCAGCCGGCTGGGGGGCCGTGCGGACGTGCGCCCGCGCCCGTGTGTTCGTGTGTGCGTTTGGTGTCCGTGCGCGTTTGAACGTCTGCGTGTCCTGCATGTGCACGTGAGCGTGTCGGCGGAGAATGTTTGTGTGTATGGTCGTGTGACTCTGTCATGTGTACAGGCAGGCCCCAGGGCTGAGCGCCGAGCCCAGCACCCCGGTTCCGCGGGGCTGCAGGTTGCAGGGCCCCGGATAACCGAGGCAGTGGCTCCTCCCGCGTCCCCGGGTTTCAAGGACGCCGGGACTCGTCGCGGCCCTGTGGCCTCACGCTGGGGAGGGGGATAAGACGGGAGAGGGCTCCCGGCCTGGAACGGCGCCGGGGTCTCAGGAAGGCGAGGAGGGGGTAACCCGTGTCCCACGGGAAGGGCTGCGGTGAGGGTGCGGGGCCAGCACACCCGTGCCCGTGTGTTCGCCCTCCCAGGCCGCCAGGATGGACGTGTTCATGAAGGGCCTGTCCATGGCCAAGGAGGGCGTCGTGGCCGCCGCGGAGAAAACCAAGCAGGGGGTCACGGAGGCCGCGGAGAAGACCAAGGAGGGCGTCCTCTACGTCGGTGGGCAAGGGGCAAGGCTTCCGGGGCTATGCAGGGTTCGGGTGTCCTTCGAGGGAGTGGGGCCAGGGCCCTTGCCGGGAGGGAGTTGTCCGCGGAGGGGTCTGAGCGGGAGAATATGAGTCAGCAGATGGGGCGGGGTCAGCAGGGGTCACTGGGGACACAGCCAGCTGAAGGAAGCCTGGGTCAGTGATGAGACCCTGGGGAGGGGAGAATGGGGGGAAGAGTTGGTGAGAGGGTGGGGTTCAGCCGAAAGGCCAGGGACCAATGCATTGGTCAAAGCAGATAGCCTTTTTCTTATTCTTCACATGATTACTACTTACCTGGTGTTGAGCCCTTACTCTCTGCCAAGTACCAATGCCCTAACATCCATTACTTCACTTCGTGCCCCTCGCCCATTCCACAGACCAAGAAAAGTGGGGTTCCCAGAGGTTTAACTACCGCGCTCAAGGTCACACAGCTGCTGAGACCTGAAGCTGGAGTTGGAGCCAAGCTTTATGGGCTCCCGAGCCCCTGTCCTGGCGGGTGCTGCCTCCTGTGTTATTGGGGCTGCCACTTAGTGCCCCCCTCCTGCTGCGTTCACCTCAGGGCTGCTCTCAGGGTCTTCCTGCCTCCCGATGCCTGTGGCCCCATCATTGCCTCTGGGTCCCTCCTCCTTGCAGCTTCCCGCTGTGTGAGGAGAGAGGCCGAGTGATTGAAATCTCTCACCCTAAGTGTGAGAGGAGAGGGAGTCCGCAGGGTCATTTGTATAAGGGGATGCAAGGCCCCAAACTGACAGTTACTGAATTTCTGTGGTGATCCTGGGCTCACTGGTGTGTAGTAGGCAGAATTATCCTTTGTGTGGGTGGAAGAGGGCTGGTTAATTTGCCTAGGGTTGTGGCAGATTAGGGATTGTGGCAATTTGAAAAATATTTATTGACTTCTTACTACGTGCTAGTAGGTGCCGACTCTCCTGATAGGGATGCAGAGCATTCCAATAGTGGTATTTGACATCAAGTGGCTGGGATGGGGACCACTGCAGTAAGGTAATCAAAGAGGATAGCATTTGAGCTGAATCCCAAAGAATAAGGAGCTGGGTGGAGGAGAGGGGTTGGAGGAAGCAGAAAAGACTGAAGGAGACAGGGCTGGAGAGCAGAGGGCAGGAAGCTGTGGTGGGGGATGAGATCAGAAAAATGGGCAAGAGGCAGCTCATGAGGGGGCCCTTGCTGGCCAGGGCAAAGGATCATTACAACCTGCCATGAGAGATTGTAAGCTAGGGACTGACATGATCTGACTTCAGTACAGAAAGTTTCCTCGGGTCTCTGGGGAGACACCAAATGCAGGGAGGCCTGCTGGGAGGTAGTGTAGACAGCAGATGAGGGTGGCTGGAACTAGGGCACAGGTGATGGACGTAAGGTGGAGGCTTGAACCCACACCTGCCAGGCCCCAGCTCTGGCCTCCCACCTCCCTCCCCCAACCCAGTCCTTTCGCTCCTATGTATCCCTGGCACCTGACACAGTCTCCCTGCTAACAGACTTGAAGCACCCCCTTCCCCTTAGTTTGGCACCTCCTGTTCCTCCCCCTGCCCAGGAACCCCCAATGGCTCCCGGTTCCTACACATTAAAGTCTCAGCTTCCTGTAGCCTGTAACTCAACGCCGTTCACGGTCCTACCTCAGTCCGTGTTTCCATCTCTCCAGGTGCACAGACAGTGTTGCTGTGCTCTGTGCAGGCCCAGAAAGAACACCTCTCTGTGCCCTGTCTGTGTGGTTTTCTGTGTCTGAGATACCCTCCCCAGTCTCCTCTCTGCATATCTACCTGTTCCCCCATTTTCAAGGCCCAGGCAGTGCCCTTCCCCTACCATGTACCCCTTGGAGGCTGGAAGTCCTCTCTCCACTATTTGAGGTCCAGGGCGCCAAATCTGCTCTTCTCTTACCCCCATCTGATGGTGAGCCATTGGCCCAGGACCTGGCACAGAGTGGGTGCCAGCAAATGTTTGTAGAAGGAATAACAGGGTGCCATGCAGCGCGCACACACACCCCTCCCCACAGCTGTCTCCGTCTGGCTGGCCATAGCCAGGAGATTCCTGCCTTCCCATGCTGTCCTCTCCTTCCACCAGCCTCAGCCCGCCCAGACACCCATTTACCAATTTCGGGGTCTACCAGCTGTTGTCTGCATTGCCACATCCTTAGAATAGGAGACTCCCCACTTCCCTGAAGGTTCCTGCCCCCCACCTCTGATCAGGCCATCTTGCCTTTCGCAGCAGCTAGGAGAAGACCCAGCCAGTGCCGTGGATGTCAGGCACCCTCAGACCCATCATGTACCTGAGACACTCCTCACTTTGGCCGGAAGGAGGAACTCACACCCCAGTTAGAAGAGTCTTTAGAAGAAATGGAGTGGGGGCTGGCAGGTGTGAGTGCCCATAGGTGGGATGTGGGCAGTCAGGAATCAATGGCACCAGAGGAACTTTTCTAAATACATAACACGCCCCCCGCCCCCTGCTCCACCCCCACTGCCACCCTCACCTGCTCACCCTGGGCTGAGAGGTAAAGGAAATGTGCTTTGCACAGTGCTGGCTCCCAGGCAGCAACCCTCTTGCGGGTATCATTTCAGGTGGAGGAGGGGCAGGCAGTGGGGGAGAACTCAAAGTCCTCGGGAAGTAGGTTGGAGGGCTCAGTGCAGTGATGAGGAGGGGCACCCGTGGGATTTGGGGGCCCGAGGAGGCAGTGACGGGACCAGGATTACCACTGCCGACTGGGTCCTTCTGCCCACTCTGTAACCACCATGCTCACCAGAGGCTCTGTTCCCTCAGCTCAGAGTCCTGATGTGTGCTCCTTTTTGTCCCTGCAGGAAGCAAGACTCGAGAGGGGGTGGTACAAGGAGTGGCCTCAGGTACCAGCCCAGCCCCGGCCAGCCCCCTTCCCTCACCTCGGGCCTGGGATCCGGCTGGGATCTGGAGGGTGGGGGATGGTGGTGGAAGGGGGCACCCCCAGGGATTCCTGAGAGTATGCTCTGTGAGGGGAGGCCAGCTGGGACACCGTGAGGGGGAGAGATGAATCTCTGTCTGCTTCACCTTGGCCCCCAACCCCCTTCCCCAATCTTCTGCCTGCTCCAGTGGCTGAAAAAACCAAGGAGCAGGCGTCCCATCTGGGAGGAGCCGTGTTCTCTGGGGCTGGGAACATTGCAGCAGCCACGGGCCTGGTGAAGAAGGAGGAATTCCCCACTGATCTGAAGGTGAGCTATCCTCTGACCGCGCGCGCGCACAAATACACACATACACACACACACGAACACACACGCGGGCCAGGCATGCCCATCCATACATGTGCCACCAGGCTCCCCCTCCCCCAGCCAGCCTGAGGCACAGCTTGCCTCACGTTCTGCAGGGCTCTGTAGACTCAGCTCAGAATGAGTTCGCGTGGTGTGTAGGGGTGTGGTGCTCCCTGTGACAGTGACCCAGGTCTAGCCGTATGCATGTATCCTGCTTGTGAGTGTGACCTGGGCCATTATGGGCCACGTCCGCGTGTCATGGATTGTTTGTTCTTTCTTGTCGTTCAACAAGTATCCGTGCCAGAGAGGAATTATTCTAGGAGTTGCCGTGGTGAATAAGTTCCTATGTTCATGGAGCTGATGCTAGAAGATAGACAACCAATGAATGAGATGGTTTCAGACAGGGATAAGTGCTATGAAAAAAAGACAAAGGTGATACAAAAGAGAGTCAAGGGGTAAGGGGACTACTTTAGTTGGGAGGGCTTCTCTGATGAGGTGACATTTGAGCTGACACCCAAGGGATGAGGTAAGCCTTGTGAGCATTGTATTTCAAGCAGGAGGAACAGCATGGGCAAAGGCCCTGAGGCGGGCATGAGCGAGTGTGGGCCATGGGGGAGGGCTGAGTTGTGCATCGCATATTTGTGCAGGCGTGTTCCCCCAGGGGAGCAGTGGTGGCTACCCCCAGGTTCATGAAGGCAGATACCTTCATTAGGACACACTACAACGTAAGAGCTGTGAACTCTGAAACGCCACACAGTTGGATTTGAGTCCTACCTCCACTACGCCCTGACTCCGTGACCCTAGGCAGAGTCCATCACATCTCTGAGCCTGCTTCCTTGCCTGTAAGACAGAAGATGAACACAAGAGGGCTCTTACACAGATTAGATATATATCAGAGGTTCTCAAAACTTATGTGTGCGTCAGATTCATCAGGAGGCCAGGTTAAAATACAGACTGTCAGCCACCTCCCTAGAATTTCTGATTCAGTAGGTCTGAGGTGGGACCGGAGAGTTTGCATTTCAAACAGGTACTTGGGTGATGCTGATGCTGCGGGTCCAGGGACCACCCTTCACGGCAGGCCTTTACACAATTGATCCTTTGCCCTGTCGCAAGTCTGGGACTTAACTCGGAAGTTCTGGCTCAAGTCCTATGTGTGCATTTTACCGGCTGTGTGACTTCCCATTTATTATCATTGTTCCAGGGATCCCTCCCATTCATTGATCTCTTGTATGGGGAGGCAGTGTTCTAGACTCGGTACATGGAGAACCTCACTGAATCTTTACACTCTCTGGGAAGAAGGCGCTACAACGTGTCCATTTTATAGATGAAGGAACTGAGGCTCAGAGAATTGAACTGACTTGCCTGCCTCTTTAAGAAGGTGCTTGGGAGGATAAGCTCAGGTTTATGTCAGTGGAGTTGCTGGGAACCAGCACAGGGCCAGGCCCCATGCTGGGAGCTGGGGTGCAGAGAAAGCCAGATCTGAGCCTGAGGCATCAGCCTCAAAGGGCCTTTGCCCAGAACCATTCCTCTCCGGCCTCCTTCTTCCTACCACCACTTCTGACACCCCAAGCCTCGTCTCTCAAGGGAGCTCAGGATCACGGACTTACTATTTAAACAGTAGCCCTTTGGGGCTACCAGGCCTGGGGAATCCGTGCAAGCCCAGGGTGCACATTTCTGAGTGTCCTGACCTCCCAGCCTGCTCCTATGCTTTATCATGGGACCCTCCCTGTCCTCCTACAGAGCAGACAGCACCATGGCATTTCCCATCTGAGGCAGCTGAGTTCAGAGGTGAAGTGACTGACCTGAGCTAGTGAGTGGCCGGGCTGAAATGTTTTTAAAGTAAACTTTTTATTGAAGTGCAACATACATACAGAAAGCACACAGCCCCATGACATTTTCATAGAGCGAACCCCCCATGTAACCAGCACTCACATCAAGACACAGGACATCAGCCCTTCAGAAGCCTGCCTTAGACCTCCTCCCAGTCCCTAACCCCCGGCTAAGAGGAGGGTAAGATGAGGGAGGGGTCTGGGACACAAAATTTGAGGGGGACACTCACTCTGGGGTCTCATTTGCATGGCCCTGAGAGTGGGGCCTTCCTAACATTTGCAACCTGAGTGCCTTATTCACATCACCTTGGTCCTGGCCCTGCCTCCCCCACCAAGGGTCACTGATCTGAAGGTGAGCTATCTTCTGACCGCGCGCGCGCACAAACACACACATACACACACACACTGTGGCCCTTGGTCATTCCATCACACTCACAGACGGCCACCTGTGCACCCACCCAGTACACCAAGTGGGAGCC